TCACAGTCCTGCCGTGTGTGTTATGGGCACACAGTACGATATTGATCGTTCTCTGAGAGGCCAAGGTTTCTCGTATATAGTAATATTTATCTCCGGAATGTAATGTCCTGTAATGACGACGAAACAGTTATTTGAACAAATTTCACGTGTTTCGTTTGTCATGTCCACATTACGTTTTGGTTGCCCCTATTTTGGTTGGGTAGAAGCTGGTGAGTCTGGTGTTTAGTGATCGATGGTTGATATCGATCCGTGTAGAACACAGTACACAACACTGGCTACAGTGGATACAACACGAAACAAAACATGATCAGCGTCGATATTAACATGGCCGGATGCTCCCAATAAACATGTCCCGAACGTTGTCCATTCGTCGTGTCCATCAATTTGTCGAAAAAGAAGCAGTCTTTTTGTGCTATTGTACTGACTTTGTACGACCTACTTTTACAGAAGTCACTGCCGTTCGTATACAGCTGATTAACTCTCGAGCCTTTCAGAATGGCCGACCCACAGGCTCCGTACCAGGCGTCACAGAATTCCTCACACACCTTCAAGTATCCCCATATATAAAACATGTTCTGGTAGGGAGCACATATATAACACATTAAGTAATTGGTGTACTGTTGACAGGCCGGTGACGCCCCGGGGAGACTCTTTACCTGCTCAAATGTCTCCGCGATCTCCTCTTGCATGCAGCAACTGTTCTCTTTGAACCAGGTACAGTTCTTCAGGTTTGGCTGAGGCTCTGGTGCACGGTTGTTGAAGAAAGAACAGAACTCCGTCACCTCTGTAGCCGAGCCTTCGGACAGAACAATGGCAAAGGCAAAGAACGTCGCTAAATAATAACCGAACATCCTGTCTTTCTTCAGGTCACCATCGGGTACGGCACACCAAACCCTCAGCGTTAGCAGTCTCATGGAACCCAGCAGCACGGTAGGTACATATTACAGAATCGTCATACAAGTACAATCTTGCGGAATTTAGTTCCAGAAAAATCTGTTGTAATTTGGAGTCAAAGCCCATATAATCATTACATATCAGCAAGTACATTAAACATGCGTCGTTATATTGGTATCGCCCTACACAAGAGATAAGTACGATTCAATATCGAGGACAGCGTTTCGTTTGTGTATCATGCTTTGCTTTGGTGAACCCGCCGTATCATAATTTCGAAAACTTACGCCAAAATACTCAAGTTTTCGCGCCATTTAAATGCATACTTTAGATGTATTTTCACTTAAAGCATGAGATTTTATTAAACCAGCAGGCAAACAATGCATGCTCACGATAATTTAAAACATTTGATCCTCTGCCGATAAGTGCATGATTGAAAAAGAAACATTTGTAAACGAAATGAACACAAACTTAAACACTCGTAGTTATGTTCATGTTTTAGTGTAGTAATACACTACATCTCACTTAGACATGTGTTCAGTGTAGTAATATACTACA